GGCGTTCAAGTCCACGCCGGCGAGCCTGGCGCACCCGACGCTCATGTGGACCCTGCTCGGCACGTCGCTGTACACCTTCTACCTCGGCTATCAGGCGTCGCGCGTGCGCAAGGTGGACGACCGCGACGAGCGCAAGAGGCTCGCGCAGGGCCGCTTCGGCGACCGCCACTTCCGCACGTCCAGCGCCCTCTTCGCCACCATGACCGTCGCTACCTTCTCCGGCATGGCCAACACGTACGCACGCACGGGTAAGCTCTTCCCCGGCCCGCACTTGTACGCAGGCCTCAGCCTCGTCGCTACCATGGCCGTCATGTCCGCCTTCGTCCCGTACATGCTCAAGGGCAAGAACTGGGCACGCAACTCGCACTTCACCATCGCGTTCGCCGCCGTCGCGCTCTTCGGGTGGCAGGCCAAGTCGGGCATGGCCATCGTAAGCAAGCTACTGGGCTGGGAGTAAACGTTTTTTTTTTTTTTTGGTTTGTTTTTGTTTGTTCTTCTTTTGCTTCCCTTTGTCTATATACTGTAATAGATCGGCCGTGAAAAATGGGTGCGCGCCGCGCGGCGGCGACTCCCTCACTTGGTGTGCGACTCGTCGATGCGCGTGGCGTCGACCTGGTAGTTTCCGCGCTCGTTGAGCGGGGCCTGGACGATATTGTTGCGCAGAAAGTCGATCGCCTCGTCGGCCGTCTTGAGCATGGCGGGGACCTTGTCCGCGGCGGCGTCGCGGTTGTCGCGGAACTGCTGCAGGATCGCGGCGTGAGCAGAGCGCAGCATCTCCGCGTCGCCCGCGAACGCCCTGCGCTGTGCACGGATCAGCTGCCGTAGCGTCGAGCGCGTCGCCGCGCCTGTCATCGTGTCTTGCTTTCGCGTGCCCGGGGACGCGCGTGGTGTGCTCCCGCGGGGGCTTTAGTTGCGGCAGGTGCCAGGCTGGCGCACCGACGGGCGGTGCGCGTGCGATTGGCGTGCGACGAGATTCATAACGAACCGCGCTGTGGTTGGTTGATTCAGCTGTAATGCAAGGCCGATTTCGCAATTTCCGAGAATGTCTCAACTGTAAGTCGTTTTTGCTCAATTCTGCACCCCCCAGTCCAGGGCAGCCACGTGTGTCCGTGTACTCTACCGTCCAGAGCATGCACCATGTGTGTACGTGTACATCGTGTACGATTCGGGACCTCCCAGGAGGAGATATCGAAAACTGGGACCAGTTTTCCACCGTGCGCCTCCGTCTCTCTCAACCGGCGGGCACGAACAGCCGCGTCGCTTCAAAGTCTATACTCTCATCCTCCCTCCCCCATTCCACCTCACCACCCGCAACCGCTCCACTTTGCCGACCACACCTCAACATGAACCCTCCCGTACCGAAACGTCGACCGCGCCCAACCTCAAGGACCAACCTGTGCCTCCCTGCAATCGCACCCGGTCAAACCACCATGGCTTTCGTCTCCGCTCTGGCCTCGTCCACCCCCTTTCTCGCCAACCCCTTTCTTGCCACCCCCCTACCGCGCTCCCACGTTCGCTGCACCCCGCGTTCCCCCCTTCTCACGCGCCCTCTACGCCCCGCGCCCTCCCGCCGCCGCCCCCCCTCCTCCATGGCCCTCGCCTCCTCGCAAGCGCAGGCCTCCCCGCCGCACCGGCGCGACGCGTCCGCCGCGCCGGCGGACCAATTCTCCTTGCGCACGCGCCGCGAGGAGGACAAGGAGCTGTGCATGCTGGTCGGCGTGGACATCACGCGCCGCTCCAAGGCGAAGGCGGACGGCCGCATCTTCGGCATCCACGAGTCGCTGGACGAGCTGGCCCGCCTGGCCGAGACCGCTGGAATGCGCGTTGTCGGCGTCATCACCCAGTCGCTGCAGGCCCCCATGTCCAGCACCTACATCGGCACAGGCAAGGTCCAGGAGGTCCGCCGAGAGATGGAGGCCGAGGACTGCTGCACCTGTATTTTCGACGTCGAGCTCAGCCCGGCACAGCAGCGCACGCTCGAGACCGAGTTTGGAGGCGAGGCGAAAGGCATCAAGGTTCTTGACCGCACCGCACTCATTTTGGATATCTTCGCCCAGCACGCCGCCACGAAGGAGGGACAGCTCCAGGTCGAATTGGCCCTTTATCAGTACAGGCTGCCCAGGCTCACGAGGATGTGGACCCATTTGGAGAGGCAGTCGGGGGCGGGCGGCGTCGGCCTCCGCGGCCCGGGAGAGACCCAGCTGGAGGTCGACAGACGCCTCATCAATACCAGAATGAGCAAGCTCAAGCGCGACCTGGAGCTGGTCAGGGGGCATCGCTCAAGGCAGAGGCTGGCGAGGAAGATGAACGTCGGCTTGCCGGTCGTCGCATTGATCGGATATACCAACGCGGGGAAGAGCACCTTGTTGAACGCCCTAACAGGGTCCAACGCCCTGGCGGCGAATGCCTTGTTTGCGACGCTGGATCCGACCACGCGCCGTGCCAGTCTGGAAGGCTTGAAGCTTAGCCCGGAGATATTGCTCACAGACACCGTGGGCTTTGTGCAAAATTTGCCCACGCAGCTTGTCGCCGCCTTCAGGGCCACGCTGGAGGAGGTGGTTGACGCGGATGTCCTTGTGCATGTCGTCGACGCTAGCCTGGATAGGGAGGTCATGCAGTGGCAAATGACCGCCGTCGACCAGGTGCTGGATCAGATCGGAGCGAGTGGGAAGCCTACCGTTATTGTGTTGAACAAGGCCGACCTTGTCAGTGAGGAGGAAGCTGGGGAGCTCTTCAGGGAGATCGAGGAGCGGTGCGGGCTGAATTGCGTGGCTGTTAGTGCTGCGACTGGAAAAGGTTTGGAGGAAGTTGGCGTGCTTGTCGATGAGGTTTTGCGCGAGATTTCGCTCAGCGTGGAGGCCGTTATTCCGTACTCCAGAGGCGATCTGACGTCTGCAGTATATTCCCAGGGAAGCATTGATGCAGAAGACTTCGTGGAAGAGGGGACACATATTATGGCGCGCGTACCGCCTAGTCTCTGCAATAAGTTGCGCCCGTATTTCGTGACAAGCACCATAGCGGATGGGAACAAAGTGGAAGGACTTGATACTGGAGACCAGATAATTGAAGCTGTTGGTGCTACGGACGAGGAACGGTGGTCGGACTTGGCCAAGAAGCGGCATCAACCACGGGCCGAAAGTCAAGAGTAAGTGCTCCAGATATAGGGGTTGGTCGATGTGCTTAGACCTTGTATAATTCCGTGGAGGGCTATCGTATTGGGGGATTGTAACTGTTAAGGACCGTACATATATCTTTACTGTAAAAACCGTTCTGAACTGGATGGTCAGCACGCAGGATGATAAGGGGGTAGAGATAAATGCGGTGTGAACAGGTGCCCAACCTGCTATTTAAGTGACTTTTGACAAGATTCTGTCTGCCAGGGAGGGTTTCCCACTATCTCACGTAATATGCAGTCACAAGTTCGGGTACAGTATCACAGTTCATCGTGGCTCGTCACAACTGCAGAGTGATACGTGCGTTGCATGTAAAATGGAAAGTTCAGCTTCGTCAAAATCCACTTCTGCACCCATCTCGCTCCCAATAATGACAGCAAAAATCTCTCCACATTGCTCATCATATGTAAATGGGATTTGCAACACATCTCTGGAACCGTAAACTAAGGTAAGAACTCAGAAAGAAAAAAACTATGCATTGTACCGCAGGAGAAAGCATATTGGGATGCATACAACTTGCCGTGCCTTGAGGGGCCGTTCGGTACTCTAATTCATAAAAGAGTGCTTCTCGATGACTATCGCTGGTGCAGTAGTACCTTTACGGAGGAGAGACGTACAATTGAATTGTTTCCCGCCTTTCACTCATTGCAAAGAAATGGAAAGAATACGTACATAGCGAGGCAAGGAATGGCTTCGCCAGTAGTTCACGCCTGGTCTTTACTCTTTGCATGGGTTTATCGACTTTCCGTTCTACTGATTCCGTTCTACTGTACTGATTTTTGAAACGATTTTGACAAACTCATCAGCAAATATCTACCCTACTACTACCTATCTACTCAAGGGTAGTTTGAGAGAGAGGAAATTCTGTCCAGAATGGGATGCAATTGGTCTATTTCCACGGATATATAATTTCGCATGCCCTGATGCTTTCGTCGCGAGGAAGAAAGCAGTTCAGAGGAATAGACATGGAAGCCTGCTTTGTTACCACGCCAAACACGAAGTATCCCCACCTCTATTTTTCCCGAAATATTGCGACTAGTACTGTAGAAATGATCGAAAGTCAAAATCAGCTTAGTACACATTAAATCACCGTGAAACCTGGAAAAAGTGCAGACATCAACGAAAAGAGTCTTGAAACACAAATCTATGTGCAAAATATGGCCTCCGTCAGGCCATACCTGGCAGGAAGGAAAGGACTCAGAAAAACAGTTACTTGCGATATCAAGTGTAGATATAAATCTATCAGAAGATTTTGATAAGGGACAGGTTACGGGAGACTGCACACACAACGCTGCTGTACCAGAAACTGGGAACAATGCATGCGGTGGTTTTCAGCAAGTGCCTGCTAGAAGTGAACATTGTGCAGCAGGCAAGTTCTTGAAGTAACCTCATCGATAGAGCTTGTCTATTTCACGCGTTCAAACTAATTTAATAGCTTTGGGGCTTCCAGGAGGCTAATCTGCCGACTTTGGGGGTTTAGGAAAAGCCCAGTTGTTACGCCACTCCCCTCAGCCTCAAAGAATTAGCATGCGGACTGGGTCAAAATCCTGCGTGAGTTGCGCGCCAGTTGCGATGGATTAGACCTCGCGGCTGCATGGAATGGAACCCATTGGAAATGTAGGGGTTGAGGGGTTATTGAGAGTTATTTGGGTCAGACTCTCGTACGGTTTGCCGAAGTGCGGGTCTGTGGAATGAAGTTTGAAGAATTTGCGGGCTTGTGAAAGTATTGTATTAAAGGGCATTTAGTTAGCGCCCGGCAAAGTTTAGGATCGATAAGAACGTAAATATATGTTTGCGGAGCCAGGCAAAGTTGGAATACTATCAGCGTGGATCGCTATGAGGAGGAATGGGACTTTAGCACCCGTGCAGACCTTGCATCCTGGACAGACAGAGTCGATGCGCGCATGACAACAAGAGAAGAACTACGCGTGTACACAACATACGATTGTCGCAGGCGAGCCTGCCGTTTGAACTGGTTCCGTCTTCTCTGGAATATACACTAAAGGTTGTCCGTAAAATAACGCGTTGCTTTTTTTCCATTTCCTCACAAACTCGCTGGACGTAAAGTAAACCCGAGTTTGAAAAATTCCACGAGTTTTGCGGACTGACCTCCAGCAAGGTATCTGCCCGCAACAAACGCAAGTCTGGTCCATCGTTGTGCCGCCCGACGGATCACGTGCACCTGCGCGAATACTCGCTGAAGCGAATATTGTAGCTCGCCACAAGGATAGAAAGGTTCTTGAGAACCTTACTGAGATCAGTCGAAAGGGCGATGTGTTTCGTCTTCTTGACAGACGGAACGGCCATGCAAGGTTCACCAGTCATACCTTGGCAGTTGACCATACGGGCACCCATTACGAGGAATGGGGAGACCAATTGGCACTCATCTTGTGTCCCGAACCTGACAGGAAGCGTTGGCGAGATGGGACCGTTCTTCTTTGCTCTCTAGAGAATTTCCTTCGAGGTAATAGGTATCATAGTCTGTAAAGTCTTCATCGGTATCAAGCGATTCTGGTAGAGGTCTCTCCCACCGCATCCGGTTCGCGGAATCGTGCGTACATCTTGGCTTGGAATATGACCGCTCCAGCACCCATATCGTGAATACAGGTACTGATAGTGAGGACTTCACTTCCGGTGTCGAAGGAGAGCGTTCCAAACAGTACGCACGATTCCGCGAACCGGGTGCGGTGGGAGAGACCTCTACCAGAATCGCTTGATACCGATGAAGACTTTACAGACTATGATACCTATTACCTCGAAGGAAATTCTCAGGGGGGGCCGTTTGGAGAGGACCGCTTTTTAGAAGCTTCTTCTTGTCTCTCTGCTGCGATTGCTATGGCTGCATATGTGGCAGATGTTTTAGTGCCTTGATCCGTTGATGGACTCTGGGTAGATGAAGTGATAGGGGCGTCCATGACGCAAACCGGTATGACCCGTGCAGTATGAGACTCGTTTGTGCTGAGGAAAGGGCGGAAAACCCACTTCGTTTTCCTTCAAGACGGGTCGATCCGGCATTGCTGTGATCAGGCGGATGTGAAACTCGTAGAAAACTCACATGCCCCGAGTTTGCAGTATGCTGTGAGTTCTGGCAAACGCGTTGTTTGAAAATTTCGCGTTCAGAAATTCCGAGCAAACTCGCGGCCAAAACACGTGTTTTCGTGACTTTACGGACAACCTTACTGTATGATATACGTCCATGTTAGACATCAGCAGGCAGACTGTCGCCACTTGAAAACGTGACCTTACTAAAGGAGACCCATGTAGATATGTCCCGAAAGACTCAGCACAGATTAGTACCGATGAGACGTGGACGCGGTGCACACGTGGGCAATTACGGAAAAGAGCACAAAAAAAATCTCACAGTTCAGTTGAGGGGTTCACAAGCAACGCAAGTGCCCTTTCGACATGAATACACGTCATGCACAGTGCGAAAAGTCGCTGCGTAGGTAAGGTGCTTCAGTCTTGATTCTGCCAGCTCACCGCCAGGGAACACATGCCAGTGCACCTCGTTCAGATGTGAATACATGATTTATTTAGATATGTGTACAGCCATGTTCACACCTTGGCGATCAAGTCATAGCTTTCTTCCAGCAGCTCTTTTGCGATCCGCTTGTCATCAATACCTGCGTACACTTCTGCGAGTTTCCGCAGCTCGGCTGCCTTCGCCAACGTGGTTTTGTCGTGCGTGTTTTTCTTCTCGATATCTAAGTGCGCTTGTTTGAGGTGCAGATCACTTCGCATGACCTCCAACATATCCTTTCTTTGTTTTTCGTCGTTTTCAATATGTGCTAAAAACGTCTTGAGCACAGCGACACTACTGGAAGAATCCTTCGGGGATGGGTTCTTCGCGTTGGACTTTCCACTTCTTTTTGGATCGGCCAAATTTGGCTTTTTGCGTCGTTTGACAAAACTGTTCGGCGGGCTTCCGTCCGATTCCATAACGTCTGCGACGTCGGCAACTTCGTCACTATCCTCTAGAAGCGGGACATCTGGAATAGGAGTGTCCGAATCAGGGAGCAGTTGGTCGCCCTTCACATCCAGCTGAGTGATGCCGTTTATTGTTCGCTTCCTCTTGCGGCCGCGATTAGCTGCGGACAAGTCAGGCTGAACATGCATCGGTTGTCCGCTGGTCTCGATCGCGGCGACGGTGACGGCGGCCTTGGCCAGGGTCATAGCGGTTCTCCGGCCGATGATGTCGTGGACCTTGAAAAAGAGCGGAAACATTCTCTCCACCTGCGTGCGCATACTTCTCTCGCTAAGACTCGCGACGGTGAAGTTGCTATATTTATCCTTGACGCTCTTATATCTCTTCTCCATATAGGTAATCTTGTTCTCGACCTGCTTCTCCGTATAGAAGGGTTCCTCGTTCAACATTTCATTAAGCTTAAGAGCAATCTTCTTAAAAACTCTCCTCCGAATGCCCTCGTAGTACTCGGTGACATGCTCGCCCCAATTGGAGAGGACCTCCTCCTCGATTTCATGGGTCATCTTGCGCGAGCCGAGCTTGTTGGTCTGGCATTTCATGGTCGGGGTGGGCTGATGCTGCTGCAGATGCTGGACGGCGGGGTTGGTGAGCGGCTGGGAGGCGGCGACGGCTTGGGCCTGGGCGGCGGCGAGGACGTGGGCGTTTGGCGGGGGGGAGGGGGAGGTCTGCTTGGGCGGGGACCCTGCGGACCGGCGCGGGAGAATGGTGACGGCCTTGCCACCGACCCGGCGGTGGTCATGCTGCG